TCCACCCCTGGAGGTGTCAAGACCTGACAGGACAAAGCCCACAGCAACCTTGTCTGATCTCAGAGCTGACCCTGCTGGACTGGTGACCTCCTCTGAGGTTCCTTCCAAGCTGAACGATTGGAAGCGAATCCTCTGTTCAAGAGCCCCCAGGCTCTCAAAAGTTTCCGCTAAGAACACCTGGTGAAGCCAGATGACTAAAAGCAACTCCTCTTCTTACTGACAATGTGAGAGTTTACAAGTCTCCTATGGCTTATTTCCCACACCAAACAGGCACGAACCGAAAATTCATTGTAACCGGGCAGAAATATTCACTCTAGAAACGTTAACTCTAGAAATCTGTCAAACATCAGATGAAATACTAGCAGTCTGGTAATACACAGGAGATGACTTTACTACTGGAAAATTATTACAGGATCAATTTTGATACCAAATGATATTTAGAAGTCTGTAATTCTTTCCTTAAATAAAAGACTACGAATCATTTTGGAATGAGTTACCACACAAATTCAAATGTCATTCCTGCAAATTAATGGCCGTGACTAAACTGATGTGACTCTGTTGACTTCAAAATCTCATTTCAGTAGAGCTTATACCAGCTAAGATTTGTCCTAGGATTCCAAACTATGCTCGATAAATTAAGGGGCAAATACCAACCCACATATTTATCACCCACTGAAAAATGGAAAAATTCGAAGAACAGACTGTTATATATCTCCACTTGCATTAAATAGCAGATTAAAATCCAACCAAGATAGCTTAGCATTCAGTAGCTATCAGTAGCTACTTAGCCTTTGCACATCATAAAATAAACACCTTAATATAAACTACACACCTTACACGTGTATGCCGAACACTTTTTTTTATTTTCTCCCTGAAAAATTGTAGAATCCTTTTCTTCCCATGCAACTTTTTTTAATGGCAAAACTGATTTCCAGATTTGTCATTGAGGTTAGGTAAGGCAACACCCTACAATTCTCTCCTGTTGATGTTGTCTAATTTGAGCCCTTCTCCTACTCATCTGCTTGGTTGTGATCCACAAGATCCTGGGATCTCTGGGAGAGATCTGAGATTCTAGTAGCTCCTTTTCAGCCATGGAACAACAGAAGGAAAGGCCTTCTTAAAGCTCACTAGCTACTGGATCAAGTTTGTGACAAATTCCAGCATTCCTCCTATGTACTGACTAAGGAGGTTCGAGTTCGTAATTGTGATCCACCAAAAATGTTTGTTAGTGCTCAGTCAGGTTTCTGAAAAAAACAAACGAACAGAGAATGAGATTTGGCAAATTCACATCTATTAACTAAAGAAATTGTGAAGAAGATGCGCTTACGTACACGCAGGTTATGGTAGCGAGTCCATTAACACATACACCTCAACAGTGCCTATAAGCAGACATAATCAAAACTAAGAGACGTGGGATCAGAGGAAAACAAGCTAAATATAAAACCGCAAAATGTTTTCAGAGTAGTTTCATCTAAGACACTACTTGCCTCTTGCTAGTTACGGATCATGTCTCTGGGAATCCAGTATTATATATGTCCAGAATAAACACATCCAACTAGGACAAAATGCTTTGTGCACACTACTGCACAAAACTAAAATAGAATTGGCTAGTTCTCATAAGCAGCAATTCCGCAGAATTTGTAGCAGTCACCTACTTTTTGATAAAGTTGGTAAGCAAGGATCTTAAAAATTACTAATTTTCAATGACAGACTCAAACGCAGCATTAAAACGTTATGCAAATGTCAACCTTGGCCTAAGTAGCCATGTGAGGCTAAAGAGATTACACACCTACAATGAGTTCCTACAGGGTGTGGAACAATTTGGTTCCAATCCAAATTGTACTCAAGTTCACGCTTAACTTTAGATGCATGGGCAGCTCCCCTGAAGATGATGGAACTACTTATATGCCTACTGTTAAATATGCCCTTAAGTGCTTTACTGGGTCAGGGCCAGAAAGCTCAGTACCTCACAAGAATGAGTTCAGAGTAGAACATGCAGCAGTAGCATAGCAGGGAATTCAGGACCACAAATATCTCGGGCTAAGTCCCTCTTGCAGTGCCAACACAGTGCAAATATGAGCAGCTGTGTGAGCGCAGACAGGTAAGAGGATGTCTTGCCTAAATGTAATCAGAATAATTACAGAAATCTGAAGAATGACATGATCAGAACGAAAACAAACGCCACTACTCCCTAACGTATACTCTGACTATAAATGGTATTCCTGCAGTGAAAAAAAAATTGTGTTTTCAATTTCTACATAAACTGACAGTCTGTGCCAGTGATCACGATCACTGTACCTCATATCACGCCTGAGCTTCAAGTGTACCCAGCAAAGAAGACTAAGACCCGCAGCACCTACAACACATGGCATCTGCAATGCAAAAGTCAGGCTGACATTCAGCAGGGTCCACCCGCCACAAACACCGTACAGGTCTTGCACTCCAGGCAATCATAATCCTGCAACACATTCATTTGCTCAACACCAACACTGTCTTTAAAAGACTGGGCTTTAAAGCACACGTTAACTACTGTTGCTTCCTACCATTCCTACACATTGTACTACAACGTACTCGTGATGGCTCCGTGCTACGAGGCACCCCTTTCTGGCCAGAGCCACTGCTAGCTATTGCACACATTCCTCCTACAAGCTGCGCACTGACGGACGCGCTGTGCACCGTCTTCCTGCCAGTTCTGAAGCCCGCGCACTTCTGAGTCCAAGAAGAGCATGTTCCACGTTTGCAGGGATTCCCATGATTTGGTGAGAGACAGTAGAAGGATCTGGACTAAAACAACCCAGAAGCAGCAGCATATGGGCCTGTCATCTCCAAACTTACTCTGCAATAGCTTAGCCTAACCTTCTGTAGTGTAGAAAAACATTTTAAAGCTGAACTACATGCATTTATTTCTATGTTTATACACCATAAGCACATATAATTAGCTTAAAAAGGGAGCATAATTAGCTATGTAATGTTATAGGTCATATTACTACACAACACCCAGATGTCCTGCTATCTCACAAAATATTAAAACACCTCTTCCTTGTCAGTGGTAAACTGTATATACTGTTGTGCCAAAATATCATGATTAATAACATCACCATAGTTAGGGACATAATGTTAAGCCAACAATCCTTTTAATAATTTTTTAAGTTGGGATTCTTCAGCATTGTAGCCAAATATAATTTACATTTCCAGGGGGGATGAGCCTTTTGGGACATGAAAGTAACTTTGGAGTCACAGGAGTCTGAATCAGATCAATCCTTAAACAAGTGGATCATTGATTTTTCATATTCAGGCACTGGGAGGCAATGGGGACGGGGGATTGAGAGGAACACCAGTCAGACAGGAATACCTGCCTCACCTTAGGTGCATTATCTCACTCTATGAAATCCATGAGACTCTTCTGGAATTTCTAGCGTGGGGCTTTGGAAAGTGTTTATAAAGGATCTGCTGCCCAGGCAAGTTTCTTTTTTTTCGCTTTGCAGGCTCAGAAAGCACCTCACGAAGAAACCCCACAAGTAATTAGGAACAAGGAATACAAATTAAAAATACAACTAGCAAATAGGTATTTTGGGATGAGGATGAGACTTCAAATTAATTCAGCAAGTTTGTCTTGTGAGAGCACAGAAATCATGCAGTAAGCTATGAACTGGCACTGGAAATCAAAGGGCTGGCTCCGGCTCTGTTGCGAGAGTTTCACTATTTACTTCAGCACAGTTGTTTCACCCACATATGGGGTTCTCATTCATAACTATGTCCTCTAACACTGGCAATAGTCTCGCGACTCAGTAGGGAGATGAGCAGACTGAATCACACGTGCCCTCCGGTAGTTTGTATTTGGAAGAATCTCAGCACTGCGCTCTGCTAGGGGCTAGATTTGGGAAGCCAAGGAGCGACAGTAAATCTACCGCACTTCTTTCAAGGAGTTTCCAACAAACTCCCATCATAACGCAGCAAGGATTCAGGGGTTAAGCTGCAAAGTGCCTGGATGGTGGGGGAGCTGCAAAAGGCCAGGGCTTGCTTTATGATGGCTTGCTTGATCCCCTACGGTTGTCCCTGATAATTTTCAGTGTTGTTCCTTTCAGAGCCACAGCTCTGAAAAGACTTCTGAGTGTGACTTAAAAGCATGGACAGGGCTTGCAAAAGCACCTTCTTCTCCTGAATTACATTTTTAGCTTCTTGAATTTCATTTTTGGTTCGTTTCTTTACTAGCTACCGAGGCCACAGCAAAGCTGGTAGCCTTGTCCACCCTGCCCTCCATGTGCACAGCTCACCCTCAAAAAGAGGAAGGAGCTGGAGAGAGAGTGTTAGAGAAGTAGGTGACTAGGGGATCTCCATGGGATACCACTGCCTGTGAAAATGTAACCACTGCAACAACAAAGACATATCGCCTATTGCTGTCTGCTGCGCATATGGGTTTGGGGGGGTGGCCTCTCGAGCAAGGCCAATCTTGGGAGGTTTGGGAAGCACTTATCACCAAACAAGCAACCATAAATAATAACTAGTGAGCAATGGGGATAACAACGCACAGGAGTCAATTTGAGGGGCTTTTTTTCATTTCTGATGTAGCTGCAATGACATGAGATGTGAATGCACAGAATAAGGTAGGAGATGCTTTATCTAGGCTGTACGGAAAATATAATGAAGTACGACTAATCCTTGACAGAAAAGAGCGCATTGAGTGAGGAGCCCAAGGCTCCAGCCCGACCCAGGATGCCCTCGGTGTTCCCTCAGACATGTCTTTCCCGAGATGTAGGTGGGAAGGACACTCGAGAATCTGGTAAGGGATCAGCTCTTTAGAAACAGAAAGTGCTGGAGAAATCATTAGGACTGATGGAGCCAGGGCTGATGCGCAAAGCCTGGCGCGGCTCTGAAGTTCCCCCCAAACTTCACGTGCCTTCAGGTCAGGGACACCCCACAAGTCATGCACAGCGACAACAACAACAGTGACAACAATGGCGTGCAGGAGGAAAGCTTAGCAAAACGATGCCCAGACTTACACAGCTCTTCCCGTTCATGATGAAGTGTGTGGACGCACAGGCTTGCTCCTTCATCTCCTCCATCCCGAAGATGCAGACGGCGGTGGCATTCCAGGCCTTGGTGCCGCGGCTGTGGCGGAAAACACCCACCCACCAGCCCCGCTCGCCCTGGCGGACAAGGCTGGAGGAGACGATGAGGCTCCTGCACCCGCAGTCCAAATACACGTGCCCTTGCAAGGTAAGGCCACCCTCTGAGGGGCGCAGCTGGTGCAGGACGGCCATGCTCGGTGGCTCCGTGTCCTCGCCCAACCTGGCCTTCAACCTGTAGT